CAGTGGTAAGAATATTACAGGTTTATCTAGCCTACTTTGCTTTTAGCCACAATCTTTAGATGAACTGAAAGAATTATCAGCCAAGAAATTTACTCTGAGAGCCAAAATGAACTAACCTCAAATCATATCACATAAAAAATTGTCTTTCTGGTTACCGCAAGTTTTTATCATTTCAGCAGTATAATCTGAGTGAAAAGATTTTTTTTTCCTTATTAAATGATTAAGAAATCTTTTCCAGTCTAATCCAAAGTATCCAAAGATCTGCCACTAAAACTAGATTTATCTTTTTCCCATCTGTGTTTCAAACAGAAGGAGAGAGGGGAAAAAAAACTGCAATACATCCTGGCCCCATAAGACTGGGAAATACATTCTTAAAAGGCAATGTTAGGTCTTCAGATAGGATGCTGAATGCCCACTGTCTGGCAAATGGCATTTTCAGATACGTTACCTGCTTAGCTATAAAGACAGAGCCACAATGTATCAAGTGCATGAGTAAAAGTAGTGGTCAGAAGAATGATTTAAATTTTCTTTAGACTGACAAATGGAATTTTTTGGAAGAAACTGCCTCTTTTGTGCAAGACTACTCTGTAATCTGCTTGTCCGAAACATTAAAAAAGTACAGAATAGTTTTTGCATGAATTTTGAAAGAAGCTAGTAAGCGCTTAGAACTGCAGTTGGAATGACTCCTCCTTCAGGGACAATGTTCAAAAGAGTACAGAAAATCCAATAAACTTGGAAGGATGCCTCCTTCAAAGACAATGTTCAAAGAGTACAGAACATTCAAGAAACTAGGAAGCATAAGAGGACCAATTTCACAAAACTAGAAAGAAACTAGAAAGCATAAGAGAAAACAAACAAAACCTGTGAACAGAAGGTATAGTCTATAACAAATGAACAAAACTGAGTGTATGCCTCTACCCTTCTAATTTGAAACAAGAATTAGAGATGGAAAAAAGTAAAAGCAGTTAAAAGGAGGAACCGGCATAATAACAAATGACAGCAAGTTGGCTTATTAGATGCTCTGTTTCTACATGGAACAATTAACCATGGAACTCACTACACAGTAATAAAAAATTACTCTAAATATTGCCCTGATCTGGTGCATGATATGAGCAATTGGGACCAGTGACCACAATGCTCCCGCGTTTAATATATATGTAAATGGAACACTGAACAATGGAAATGCCAACTCAGTTATATTTGATTTCAAAAGAGAGAACTTGCAAAAACCAAATTAGTAAGAAATTGAAACTCATTGTGCACCAAGAGTCAAACTTCTCTAAGGCTTCATGAAAGCGACTTTAAAATGATATTAGAACCCCATATAGAATGTATAATAATTGATAAAAGTATAAATGAATCATAGAGGATACATGTCAACGAGGAAAGCAATAAAAGGGAAAAGGGAAAGTCTTGTCCAAGTGAGGAAAGTTAAAAGAAGCATCAATGCTGACAAAACAAATGCATATTGACAACAAGCCAAGCAAAAACACAACAAAAGGGGTTCAAAATCACATTGCTATAATTGTTGCAATGACCAATTCTGTTTCAATATAGTTAAAGCAGGAAATCAGCTAAGGATGTAGTCTGTCTGTGAACTGGAATCCAGTTTAGGATGTTGTCCAAGTATCTAGCTATAAACAGAATACTGGCAAAAAACGGAGAAGCAGAATTCTTTAAAACAATTACTGGACAAATACTTGCCTGAACTGCTTCCCAGAGGGAAGCTAAAATAGCAAGTTACATTACAGTGACACAAGAATTGAATAGACATATCCTTAAGACTACAATCCTTTATCTATTTTTCTAAGAATATGGACTAAATGAGTAGGCATGCACATGTCAAAACTCAGGATCTTCTTACAAAACTATGTAAGGTGGGCAAAATCAGTTCTCTCCCCAGAGGACAATACCACTGTTGCACCAAGACAGAATGGGGAAAAAGAATTTCCAAAGAACTAAGAAACTACAGGCACGTTAGCCCAACTTTTCTTCCTGTAATTTGTTAGCCAGTATTAGTACATCTACAGCTATTAATTTTGTAGAACAATCCTGCTGAATGAGAATATCTTAAAGTGTAACTTTGGTCCATTAATTTTTTTACACAATAATGCATAACTGTATTAAGGCTTAGCTACCTATATTTGTAATTCAGACTTACTACTTTGCAACATCTGCATTCCTACATGATACCAGTTTTAGAGGGGTAGCCATGTTACTTCTAACAGCAAAAATAATTAATTACACCTTAAACACTAACATTTATTATCATGTATATTTCGTGCATCACAGTCAACTACACCAGATGTATTGAAAGACTGTAGCTATTACATGTTGTTTCTATGCAATACCAGTTATTTCTATTCCTTTTTGATATAAGAATGCAGAACTAAAGGATAACACCATCACTAATTCTTTAAATGGCAACTGATGAAATTCAGTCTTTGAAAATCCCAAAGCAATGTTTGCACATTGTAATATTATGTTCTGTCTAATATGTAGCTTGGAGCCCCTTTATCTACTAGCCATTGCACTTTCTACGTGATCCAATATAATCATGTATTTGTTTAAACTGCACAAGAATATGCAAACAGGATGGAACAAAAGTTGGCCAGTTCTATCCTAAGACCTAATATAATAATTAAGGTATTTTTATACATATTTCTACTGAACTCCATAATGAAGTAGAAAAGGGAAAATAGTATGAATACTTAACATACTTCAGCAGCAGGCCAATTTAATTGAACAATTCAATTTAGTTAAATTCAACAAATTAATTGAAAGATTCCCTAACACAGAAGGCTTTTTCCACTGGAATAAAGTCACCTTTTACTCCAATCAAATACTCCACCAAAGAGGTTAAATGCTCATAGCATTTATTCCACGTTCAGCCTGATTAAGTGACTGCAGTGAGAGCAGTTCACCAGCCCTTTTTGACTTTTTCCCAACAATCTCACATCCTGGTCTACACATGCCTATAACTCTACCAGTGTTATTTCAAATCACCATTAATAACTATTTAGAACTGCCTGAGCTCAATCTCACTTAATTTGAGGAAAAACAAAATCTGAGAACTCTCCCTGGTAGGAATTAGCCTTGTTTTACTTTATCTCATTATTTCAGTCTAAGAAAATATTAAAGGGATTAAACAGAACATAAGAATTGTTAGGCACTTCTTACACTTATATCTTCTGAGAACAATTAAATAACTACATAATTACTATATTCTTGTGCATTTTTAAATTATCTATGTTATATTAATAAGAGTGGTACCATACAGCCAGCAAGGCAGTGCAAGATAAACAATATTTTGTTTAACCAGAAACAGCAATTGGCAGGCAAGTACCATTTATTAGTCCAGAAGTTTATATTACTGGATTCCTTTAAAAACCAAGTACCACAGACTAGCATCAAGAGCAAAACAACAGGCTATCCTTAAAATACATATACACCTTTTCATATTATTGTTTCCTTTGATGACACCATCCAGATGTTTTAGACTGCCTGGGTGCAAATTTTAGAAGTTGTAGACCAAGGTATCTGGAGGTCAGTGGTTTGGGTAAAGTTATTCTATCTGAAGGTTCTGATTAACCACGTGAATAAATTGGTTGGTAGAATTTGATGTGCTGTAATCAAGTAATTTATGTCCCAATGTTAGGAGTATCTAGTTTGTAAAATGTTTTTCCTGGAAGTCAGGGAAAAGATACAGAACAGATCCCTATTTCTGGAACATAAAATTATATTGAATGTCAAGCAAACATACTTTCTTTGCTTTTGCGTAACAGTCTAATGCTTCCAGAAGTACTCTGTTTTCATATCTGAATGACACTTGGGTAAGCACAATGCAACAAATTAGTTACAGGCCCTAATGCAAAACAGATACACAATTTCTATGGAAACATTATAGATGAAGGCAAAATCAATGGTGTTGATGTAGAGTTTTTTATTTTTCTATGACTGTATAGTTCAAAGACGTCAAATTTGCATGAATTGACCCATTTGTAAACAGATATGAGAGGAAGATTGTTTTAAAAGTCACACAAGAACCAGGGAATTTGTATTACCCTGATTCTTTTACACTTCAGAATCACTGCATTCCTAAGGATCAACACATTCTTCAAACACACATAAGTGTAACACCTCCAAAGTCAGCTAACCATTTCATTCAGAGAAAACAAACATGCTCATGTGTTACACTAAATGTCGAATACATTGTAACATCATAACTGCTTCATGCAACACAATGGAACTATGTATGCATGTAGCTTCAACAAGCAAGCATAGTCAATGCATGTGGCCATCAATATACAGGTTGCTTTTCTCCTTTCCTACGTTCCTTGTGCTTCCCATTGCAGAAGGCAGCTAAAACACTGATTGTCTTCCAAAACAGAACGATGAAAATCATTATTAGACAGATATCACATGCGGAACAACTTCTGGAAGGTCCAAGAACAAATATATCTGCAGATTTCGATAGGATCTTTCCCTCCCCACCCCCCTCTTTTTAAAGCGACCAAGCCGTCCAGTTCCGTCTTGAGTGCTTGTGAGACTTTCTCCCCCCCCCCCCCCCCCCTTAAAAAGGCCCCCCAGCCCCCCCGTCCCGTCTTGGGGCCTGGGGGCCCTTTTCCCCCCCCCCCCCTTTTTTTAAGATATATGTGTTCCGGAAAACTTCGTCCGCTCTTCACCAACCCTCCGCCGCAAAGGGCAATAAATCAGAAGATAAAAGTTGGGTCTGTTCAGGGCCTTGCAAACCCCAGCAAGAACAAAACTGCGCACTTGGCATTACGAAAAGTACACGGAGAGGTAGCCGACCGTTGAGAGCCCGGGCAGCGAATAACTACCGCAGGGACGAAGGGCAAGAAAAGAAGGGGGAAAGCGCGGAGGCAGCAAGGAGAGATGAAGCCAGTAACGAGACAGAAAATACTGGAGAGAGCGGCTAGAAGCGGAGAAGGGCGCTTCCTGCAAGCAGAAGAACCCGCCAAGCCACTGGAGACACTTACATAGCGCTTCAACTTCTTCTCCGGGGGCGACTTTCGGAGCCAGCCCTGGCAGACCACCTCCCCGCCGCTCATGGCTGCGTCGCGCCCCGAGGAGCGAGGGGGGCTGTTTCTTCGGCAGCTGCGACGGCCGGGCCGGGCCGAGCAAACAGCCCAAGAGAACACAACAGGAGCGCCGCGCCGCG